TGGCAGCAGTCACGTGGCGCGATTCATCCCCGGCAAACCCTTGCTCTCCCTGGGCAGGTGGGGTCACATCATCTCATCACCATCTTAACACCGTCCAGGACTTCTCACTGTTTATCTTACCATTCATGCTTTCAAAATAGTGAGGTGGAAAATGAACATAAAATAGGTTGGGGCATTCCACTCTCCTTTATCTTCTATTTAAACCATCTATACTTAAGTAATAAGTCACATATTTATTTGTGTTTCCTTTGCTTAAAATAAAATGCTGAAAAATCAATTTTAAAAAAGAAAAAAGCTGTCTTTTATCACCCTCTGGTTGCTACAGGGAGCACGGGGAGCTGTCACGTCCAACGAGGATTAGAAGCCATCTGAAGGCACCTGCTCCTGGGATCAGCCCAGACAACCCCTCCACTCTTGCTTTCTTTTTTTCTGTTTTGCTGGTGTATGTAGGAGCCGGACTCGGCACCCAGGCTCTGACAGTTACCACTGCCTGGCCTGGGGCAAGTTCCTGAAATCTGCTATTCCATTCCTCCGTTTCTACATCATTAAAATGGGCATAAAAGATGAGTAACGCACCACACAGGACTGCTGTAGGGAGTGAATAAGTTCATCTGTGTGTTAGGTGCCTACAATAGCGCTTTACACCATGGATAGTATTTGAATAAGTTCATCTGTGTGTTAGGTGCCTAGAACAGCGCTTTACACCATGGATAGTGTTTTACGTGTCAGCCACTTCTAATACCATTCATGTAATATGATTGCAGTAATTGTCATCGGAAGCAGCCTTGGCTGAGGCACTGTCATTGCTTTTATAAACCATCCTGCATGTTTCTTGCCTCCCAGATGCACGTGTCGTTCCTCAAGGAAGGGAGTAAGACATGTCTTTTGCCTCCATCCTGTACACAGTAACAGTGCCAGCACCTGGTCAGCGGTCCTCAGACAGGCATTGAGTGGAACTAAACGGATGCTCGCCTTAGCCGTAAGCCTTTCCTTCGGCCTCTATCTCTAGTGACTCGCTCCTTTCCTTTCCTGACTTGGACCTGGCTGGTGCTGTATCCACACGGATGGCATTTGCGCCAGGGCAGAGGCTCCGAGCAGTTGCCGCTTGGCAGAAGTCAGGCATGGCTCCTGGACTCCAGGCATGGGCGATGGACAGAAAGGCAGGATGACTCAGGCTGGTGCTGTGCCCAGAGCATTGCTACCCGGTCACTGCGGGATTAATATGCAGTGGTGGTTTGTGGCTTCTGTAATTGGAAATCTCTTCTGCAGAACTCTATTACCCTCTCACTTCCCAGGACTTGATTGGAAAAGAAGGAATTTAAAGATCTTTTATGTTTTCTTAAATTTGATGGTAATGAAACTGGATGTTGAAATTTGAGGTTAATAAATCATTGCTAACAGGACATCTTAGGGCTGAGCTGGAAGAACAGAATTGTGGCCAGGGCTTTGAGCTCACACGTCATTGCCACTTGAGAGGGAAAGTGGATATTTGTGCATTTCTCCTGTATTCTATGGGCATCATGGAATGTCCACTCACCCCGGAAGTGAGCTTGACTGTTTTGCGTGTCAGGATGAGGAAGCTGGGCCCCAGAGAGTCCGGCGTCACACAGACCAGTGACAGAGCGCAGGGCCCTTTTCAATATGCCACTTTGCTCTGAAAAGGGAGCCAGGGAGAACAGGAAAGAGTTTCTTACCAACATAGACTGGGCATTTCAATGCTGCAGGTCAACTCAGTGGTGCAGCCTGCTGTCTGCGCGGGTGGGGGGACTGAGGCCCACACTGCTCAGGCACCTGCCAGGTGATGGGGTGGGTGGCTGGGGGCAGCTCTGGGACCTGGGCCTCACCTGCAGGCCGCCTCCTCCCTCCCAGGCATGTGCCGCTGTCACTCGTCATTTCTGCAGCTGGAAACTGTCCCAGCAGCCCTCCGGCAGGACTCACGGCTGCCGATTTCCTAAAACCTTCAGGGTAGTGGCATTTTTTACAATTTTATTCAAATTGTTTCATGAATAAATATTAATTACCAAATAGGAAAGGCCACTTAATTGCAGCTGGCATATGTTAAAATCCTCTTCCCTGCTGCCCTCCTTCCTTCCGAGAGAACGAGAGTCAGCAGGAACATCAGTCCGAGCTGTGTCTGTGTGTATCTGTCTGGGTTATACTGAGGTTCTGTGAGAACGAGAGTCAGGAGGAGCATCGGTCCGAGCCGTGTCTGTGTCGTGCGCACACCTGGGTCTGGGCCGTGTCTGTGGGTGCCTTTCTGAGTTATACTGAGGTTCTGTGTGTCCAGTGCCAGAACAGAGGATTCACACAAGTAAGTTGGACGCTGTAACTTTTCTTTCTGCCTTCGCTTTAGAATAAGAAATGAGGGCAGCCAGGAAGAAGCTGGTTTCCTACATTGGAGCTTTCTCGTGGCCGGTGGTGCTCAGCTTCAGTGAGCCTCAGTCACCCGGGGGCTTGTGGAAGCAGAATTCTGGGCCCACCCCACACCTCTTGATTCAGGGGTTCTTGGGCAGGGCTTGGGGGGCCACAACTGAGAGTTTCCAGGGGAAGTCGAGGCTGCTGGTCCCAGGGCTGCTCTGTGAGAACCAGCGCTCTAAGTAGTAGGGAGGCAGCAAAGGGCGTAAGGATCCATGACAGGAACAGACTTTCATGGCGCAGACGGATTCTCCAGGGAGAAAGTCTAGGCAGAGGGACCAGCTGGGATGCTGGTCACTATGGCACCAACAGTAAGACACCAGTCACCGTGGCGCCAACACTAGGATGCTGGTCACTGTGGTGCCAACACTAGGACACTGGTCACCATGGCACCCAATTATAGGACACCGGTCACTGTGGTGCCAACACTAGGATGCCGGTCACCATGGTGCCCAACACTAGGATGCTGGTCACCAGGGCACCAATGCTAGGACGTTGGTCACCATAGCACCCAATGCTAGGACGCTGGTCACTGTGGCGCCCAACACTAGGACGCCGGTCACTGTGGCGCCCAACGCTAGGACGCTGGTCACTGTGGCGCCCAACGCTAGGACGCTGGTCACTGTAGTGCCAACACTAGGACACTGATCACTGTAGTGCCAACACTAGGACGCCAGTCGCCGTGGTGCCAACACTAGGACACTGTTTAATGTGCTTCCAACACTTATCGAGGGCCGGCTCTGCAAGCGAGCAAAGCAGACACCATCCTGCCCTCACTCCTCCCTCTCCTGGTATGGGGAAGACGAATGTCATGTGGGTCCCCTCCACAGCAGTGCTTCTCACCCTCAGCTCTCCTGACATCCAGGCTGGGTAATTCCTCTGCGTGGGCACCGTCCTGTGCACTGCAGGATTTTAGGAGCATCCCTGGCTGCTGCCTGCTAGATGCCAGGAGCACTTCGTGAAAGTGCGGAGACTTTAAGCCACTCTCCGGAGTGACCTGTCCGATGATTCAAAACCAGTTATCTTAATGCTTTTCAATAAGTTGGACATGGATGGCGTGGGTTAGAGGAAGATCAGAGAGAGAGAAAATTGTGATATATTTCCAGTGTTTCATCATTAAACTATTATTTATTGTACTGCAAGAGAGGCAGTACATTTTCCCAAGTGAACATGGGGTTAGATACAACCAAATCAAAATTCATTTCAATGCCAGAATTCCTTCAGCTGTGTTTCATTCTTCTTTGTGAAATCTTAGGGCTTCCGTTTAAAGATCCGTACAGGGCACTCTGAGTGTGTTATTAAATGTGTCAGTGAAAGGATGCGGGGTTATGTGCTCCCCTACATGGCCATGTATGCAAGATGACAGTTTCGTTCATAGTTTAGCCGTCCTTTATGAACAAATCCATGTTCCTCCTATTGTTTCTTCTGGAGCACTGAGACTTCGTTCGTGAGAGTGATTTCCACGAGATCTCCATGGCTGGGGAGGCGTCAGCATGTGGGGCGGGGGCGTCTCTAGGGGTCTCATTTGGTTTGACCGTTGGAGCATTTGCTTTTGCTACCGTTTGCTTGAGTGACTGACTAAACAGCAAGACTCTGTGCTGGAGAAAGCCACGCCCCTCGGGGAGAGACGCGGCCACCACGCGTGCGCAGCCCGGACCTGCGGCAAGGCGAGACGCCGCCACCACGCGTGCGCAGCCCGGACCTGCCTCGAGGAGAGACGCCGCCACCACGCGTGCGCAGCCCGGACCTGCCTCGAGGCGAGACGCGGCCACCACGCGTGCGCAGCGCGGACCTGCCTCAAGGCGAGACGCCGCCACCTCGCGTGCGCAGCGCGGACCTGCCCCCGGGAGGGTGTGGGGAGCTGAGCGCAGCGCGCAGCTGTTGAGGGGCCGGCCTTTCCCGAGGCGCCGCGCCGGGACCGTGGCCACAGGTTGGGAAGCGCCAGACGCAGAGCCGGGTGCCACGTGCGTCTCCTGGGCTTTCTGCCTGACAGGGACGGGGGTGCTGCACGCAGAGACGCGTCTGCGGAGACCCAAATTCGGGGTCAGGTTTGTGTTTCTGTCGACACGTCTGCCCACAGAGAGGGCAGTGGGCGATCGTTCCCTTCACCGAGATGTGGTTTTTGTCAACATTCAGTGAGATCATTTCACCAGTGAGGCGGCCACAGCGGCGCTCTCTCTACCCTCACCTCACTTCCTCTTGCAGGGGGTTCCAATCTGGACCATCAGTGAAGTCCTTCCACATCCATGGGGCGTCCGCCAGCTAGGAGCTTAGTCAGTGCACCGTGGTGACCTCTGCACCTCAGGGACGTGCCTTTCCCGTGTCTTCTCCTCACACACAAACGTAGCCTGCAAGGAAGGTCAGGTTCAATGCACGGACCTACCCTGCTGCCCGCTGCCACATGTGTACACACGCGCGGAGAATGCTCTCCACAGCACGCGAAGCGCCGGACACATGGAATTAGTGTAATGGGCATTCTCTGAGAAAAGTTATCCCTATAGAATAGTCATTTATTTCTCTTTATTGTAACACAATAGGTCACAAAATGCAACCTGAGGTTTAAGCCCAAGGGTAGGGTGTTTGCAGAGGGCTGTGTGGTGGAGGTCAGGTTAGGTTTGCAGAGGGCTGTGGTGGAGGTTAGGTTTGCAGAGGGCTGTGTGGTGGAGGTTAGGTTAGGTTTGCAGAAGGCTGTGTGGTGGAGGTTAGGTTTACAGAGGGCTGTGTGGTGGAGGTTAGGTTAGGTTTGCAGAGGGCTGTGTGGTGGAGGTTAGGTTAGGTTTGCAGAGGGCTGTGTGGTGGAGGTTAGGTTAGGTTTGCAGAGGGCTGTGTGGTAGAGGTGAGGTTAGGTTTGCAGAGGGCTGTGTGGTGGAGGTTAGGTTAGGTTTGCAGAGGGCTGGTGTGGTGGGAGGGTTAGGTTAGGTTTGCAGAGGGCTGTGGTGGAGGTTAGGTTAGATTTACAGAGGGCTGTGTGGTGGAGGTTAGGTTAGGTTTGCAGAGGGCTGTGTGGTGGAGGTAGGTTAGGTTGTTAGGTTTTGCAGAGGGCTGTGTGGTGGAGGTTAGGTTAGGTTTACAGAGGGCTGTGTGGTGGAGGTTAGGTTAGGTTTGCAGAGGGCTGTGTGGTGGAGGTTAGGTTAGGTTTGCAGAGGGCTGTGTGGTGGAGGTTAGGTTAGGTTTACAGAGGGCTGTGTGGTGGAGGTTAGGTTAGGTTTGCAGAGGGCTGTGTGGTGGAGGTTAGGTTTGCAGAGGGCTGTGTGGTGGAGGTTAGGTTAGGTTTGCAGAGGCTGTGTGGTAGAGGTTAGGTTTGCAGAGGGCTGTGTGGTGGAGGTTAGGTTAGGTTTGCAGAGGGCTGTGTGGTGGAGGGTTAGGGTTTGCAGAGGGCTGTGTGGTGGAGGTTAGGTTTGGTTGCAGAGGGCTGTGTGGTGGAGGTTAGTAGGTTTGCAGAGGGCTGTGTGGTGGAGGTTAGGTTAGTTACAGAGGGCTGTGTGGTGGAGGTTAGGTTAGGTTTGCAGAGGGCTGTGGTGGAGGTTAGGTTTGCAGAGGGCTGTGTGGTGGAGGTTAGGTTAGGTTTACAGAGGGCTGTGTGGTGGAGGTTAGGTTTGGTTTGCAGAGGGCTGTGTGGTGGAGGTTAGGTTAGGTTTGCAGAGGGCTGTGTGGTGGAGGTTAGGTTAGGTTTGCAGAGGGCTGTGTGGTGGAGGTTAGGTTAGGTTTGCAGAGGGCTGTGTGGTGGAGGTTAGGTTAGGTTTGCAGAGGGCTGTGTGGTGGAGGTTAGGTTAGGTTTGCAGAGGGCTGTGTGGTGGAGGTTAGGTTAGATTTACAGAGGGCTGTGGGTGGGGGGGGGGGGTGGGGAGGTTAGGTTTGCAGAGGGCTGTGTGGTGGAGGTTAGGTTAGGTTTGCAGAGGGCTGTGTGGTGGAGGTTAGGTTTGCAGAGGGCTGTGTGGTGGAGGTTAGGTTAGGTTTGCAGAGGGCTGTGTGGTGGAGGTTAGGTTAGGTTTGCAGAGGGCTGTGTGGTGGAGGTTAGGTTAGGTTTACAGAAGGCTGTGTGGTGGAGGTTAGGTTAGGTTTGCAGAGGGCTGTGTGGTGGAGGTTAGGTTTGGTTTGCAGAGGGCTGTGTGGTGGAGGTTAGGTTAGGTTTACAGAAGGCTGTGTGGTGGAGGTTAGGTTAGGTTTGCAGAGGGCTGTGTGGTGGAGGTGGGGCCTTCTCCCTGTCCCAGGGTGGTCCCACACAGTCCCCCAAACACACACGCGTGGGTCCAGTGACCTCAGCAGGGAGGCAGCTCCCTGATTACAAGGCCGACTTTTGTTCTTGGACCAGAGCCGATTTTGCTTTCTCTGTAGGATAATTGCACAAAAGGTCACCAGAGTCATTCTGAAAGCAGCAGGAGTTCTGAGGCTTCTGTTTGCTCCAATTTACTTAACAAAGGGCATTCAGGTGGATTTGTTTGGGCTGTGCTTTATGATTCTCTGAAAATTAAAAACCCTTCCGGTGATGTAACTGTGTGGCAGAGTTAAAGATTTGAACCCCAAGTTCATCTCTGATTCGTTTCGATTCTGTAATTATTCATCCTTCTTGACTTTGTTAGTTTTACTTTGCATTATCAAAATGCATAAAGTGGAGACTGGACGGTGGAAATCCCTGCAGGGCACCGAGGCACCTAACGTCACAACTGCAGTCCGAATCGGTCCAAGCAGAGGCCACTTAGGAAAACAGCCGTGCATGGGACGCTGATGCCACATGGCCTGGCACTTCGTCTTCCATGATTCGCCTGTTTCATGAGTGGGATCCCAAGCCCACAACCACAGCCGGAGCGCTGTCCTCACTGACAGCAGATGGTCACTGGGGAGAATGCCACTGAGGCACTGTTCATCTCTAGGAAATTAGATTCTTAACATCACCTCTCCATGGCATGAGAACTGAGCCCCCACCTCCTACATTTGGGCTCAGTGTTTCTCAAATAAGACAGACATCAGCCATGAAAGGAATCAGAATGAGGCAGTAAATTCAGAAAGAGTCCTTGAAGCCCAGCCGTGGGTGAAGGGCCCGGGATGCGCTGTCTCATAGCCATGAGCCACCTCCCGGGAGACAAACCAGGTCTCTGTGCCTTTTCTTCTCACTCTGTGAGCTCCCGTGCACCACAGTCCCTCACAGAGCATCAGCCACAGGGCCTGTGGAGAGAGGAGCTTCTTTGAAAAGCACCCCACCGCGTGGCCTCTGTGCCCGCCTGCTGGCAGCAATGAATCAGCCTGGAAGCTGGGCCGACCTGCGCTTCAGAACTCAGAGCTCCGACGGTGCTGGAGGCCTTGCTGGTACAATTGAGGCGCTTTCAGAGGAAGACGCTCCCTTTCAGAAGCTGCTCTCCTCCTGCTGAGGAAGGGGGAGCCAGGTGGCGGTGGGCAGCCGGGTGGCGGGGACACGCCAACTCCCAAGGCTGCTGAGACCCTCACTTTGAGCCTGGTGGGATGTGTGGTCGGTGGATGGTGGGGACGTGCTGGCTCCCAGGGTTGACAGGACCCTCACTCTGAGCCCGGTGGGATGTGTGGTCGGTGGATGGTGGGGACACGCTGGCTCCCAGGGTTGACAGGACCCTCACTCTGAGCCCGGTGGGATGTGTGGTCAGCAGGTGGAGTTGTTCTTGTTACTGCAAGCATATTTGGCCGTGAAAGCGAAATGTGCAAGGGTAGGAAATGGCCTCAGAGCGGGGCCCAAATCGAAGGATTCGTCGTGGCCCCTTGTGCAGACATGGTTCTGAAGGAATGGGAACTGATTTGTAATCATACCATGCAATTAACCAAGTGCACCAAGGGGCCACAGGCTCCCACAGAACCACAGTGTCAGCTACTGTGCGTGGTCCCTGGCTGCTTCAATTAGAATAGGGCAGTGAGGCGGCTGCCACTTCTGTGCGGAGCTTCCAGACAGGCGTGTGCGTCCCAGCGAGAGGAAGTCCCCGGGGCCCAGCCCCACAGCATCTGTCCCTGCCTGGCGCCTCCAGGTCAGTGGTGTGCAGCTGTAGGGTTAGGGCAGCAGAGGTGTTTGGGGCCAGCCAGGAGGGGGCTGCTTAATGCACAGGTCTTCATATCCCAGGAAAGGTGAAGCTGGGAGGCAGAGGGTAACACCCCAGCCTGTCAGAACGCAGTGTGCCCCGAGGGCCTGCGGGGAGGGCCCTGCCGGGATGGGGGTCGGTGGATCTGAGTCCAGTTCCCTCCTGTCTCCTCCCAAGATAATATAATATTGCCAGCTCGGGTATTCTTGGTCCAGCACAGCTTCTTAATCTTTTTCACCTTTGTGATGTAAGACTCAAGCTCCATGCAGAACCCAAACATAGGCATGGAAGTGTGCCCAGGTGGAGGCCTGGAGCCTGCATCTCCTCGGCCAAGCTGCACCTACCTTGTCTGTCTCAGGGAGGAGCCCCAAATCAGCTGATGGAGTTCATGCACCCCTGTGCAGACGCAGCCTCCCCCAGGGCAGTGTCCCCCAGGGCCTTTGGCTGCCGTACACCCTCAGGCTTGGTCCCTCTTAGTAGCCGCTGAATCAGATAGCTGCCCCGAGACCTGACCTGCACGTTTCTTCAGAGAGGAGTTGCTGTGCTCCTGCTGAAGTGACCCGTCTCAAGATATCTGGATGCAGGTGCACACCTGGCCTCACTTGTCCCTCATATGTATGCCTGACTTTGCCTGTCAGTCCTGCGCACACCTGACCTCACCTGTCCATCCCACACACACTCGACTTCAGCTGTCCGTCCTGCACACACCTGACCTCACCTGTCTTTCCTGCACACAAGTGGCCTCACCTGTCCACCCCACGTGCACCTGGCCTCACCTGTCTGTACTGTGCACACCTGGCCTCACCTGTCCCTGCCACACGCACCTGACTTCGCCTGTCTGTCCTGCGCACACCTGGCCTCACCTGTCCACCTGTCCACCCCGCGTGCACCTGGCCTCACCTGTCCACCTGTCCACCCCGCGTGCATCTGGCCTCACCTGTCTGTCCTGCACACATGGGTTGGGCGGGAACAGGCTCCATCTTCCTCTATGCTTTCATCACCCTCATTTTTGGAAAGTCACGTTTTGCTTTTATTCTAATTTCCATTCTCGCTTTTTCACTCTTTTCTTACGTAGTTTCTGGCATTTCCTTGATTTCCCCAGGTTCTTTCAAATCCTGATTCTCTTCCCTGAGGAGTCTGCACCGTCCTCTTCAGGGCAGTGTGGTCGGCCGGTTCAACACTCACACTTCCCTGTCCTTTGGCCTCCAAGTTGTTAAAAAATTCAATCACTTCTAGCTCAGTGTTAGCCCTGTAGGATCCACCAAAGCATGTGTTCCCTTGGGCTGACATTGGGCTATGGATAAAGCTTCTTTTTGAATTAAAATGAAAAAATTCAATTTCTTTCCCAAAAAGGTGTAGTTTCTATAGCTACAAGACCATGAAATGCACACCTAAGTAAGGAGATGAGGCCGGTTCTTCCCTGAGCCCCACTAGACTGTGGCACGTCGGTCTCGTGGGGACACCCGCTGCCATCAGCCTGAGCCCTCCTGCCTTCGCACATTTTAGCTCATGTCCATGCAGTACCGGCTCTGTGCCAGGCACAGGTCTGAGGGCCACATCTTTGCTACGTCACCAGCTCCGTGCTAGGCACAGGCCTGAGAGCATCCTTGCTAAGTCACCTTCTCTGTGCCAGGCATAGGCCTAACAGCCACATCTTTGCTAAGTCATGCCCCTGGCACAGCTGCCCCACACAGCACGTATGCCTGGCATCCCTTAACTGAGAGGTGGAGAAACAGGCAGGGAGACTAAATACCTGGCTGGGATTCAGACCGAGGCAGCTTCTGGCCGCTGAGCCCTCTCCTCATGGCGAATTTCCTCTTCCCGCTTCCTTCACTCGTTCACTGAGCCACCATGCGTGCTGCTGTGTACACTAACATGTCATATTCAGTCTCTTCTTGTAAGAACGGTAACCCCCATCATCATTTTTAACCAGGTCCCTGGAGGTCTTTGTCATATACAGATGGGAAAACTCGTTCCAGGCCCTGAAAGAGTTTACTTTCTAACTGGCAGGGGCCCAGCACTTAAAATCGGAGTCCCCAGTGCCCTGAGTGACAGAGGCTCGCATGGCAGCTGTGCCTGGGAGAAGGGCGATTGTGCAGGGGCTGCCAGGGAGCAGCCAACAACCTCATTTCCCTGCTCAGTGAGGGCCTGCTGAGTTCAGGGTGCCCTCCCATCCCTCGCCTCCTGCTCGGTGGGGGCCTGCTCTTTTGGGGGTGCTCTCTGAGTCTCTTCTGAGCCTGGCTCCATCCCAGCATCTGCACCCTGGTCAGGAGATCACTGCCCTGCCCACTGCTGAGTCCTTGGGGTCAGCGGCTGCCTCTTCTGGGTCTCATTCTCTTTTATGTCCCAGCCAAGCCACTGGTTTGTAGCAGTAGTTCAATAAACACTTTCAAATGAACATGCGCAGAAATCCTGAAAAGAGTTCTGGAATGTGGAAAAGGGTGTCTCTTGGCACTTCAGGCAGCAAAGTGCTTTGCAGAGACATGAACATGAGTGTTTGCGGTGCATGTGGGGCTGCTGGCGCCGACGCGAGCTCAGGCTTTGTTGCTTCCTGCATCGCAAATTACATGCACCTGGTTAGCAGCAGCCGTCTCTTCAGAAATTGTGAAATAAATCGCAGGTTACTTCAGAAGCATTTCAATCACCATTGAGTTGAACTAAGGAGACTGGAAAAGCACAAATTCGTACATAAAACCCACCCCTCCAGTTGCCAGAGATGCTCAACTGCACAAAAGACTTGTGATAAGCGAGGCTTTTTTCTGAGATAGCGTGCGGGCCTTTTGGATCTCACCTGGTTACAAAGCGACATGAATTAAAGGCCACATGAAGGATCAGCATGAACACCCAACCACGTCTTACTCCAAATTGCTTCAGAAATTAAAAGTTCACCGAGGTGTCATGTTCAGTTGGGACTCTGTAGCGCTGAGCTACTTTGAAAAATTCTTTACACTCTTGCTAAAGTAATGACTATTGGTATTAACTGGGACACAGGGATAGCTATTTGGAAAAAAGTGACATCGAACTCACAATACCTTATCTTATTAAATTCCATGGAGACTAAAAGCTTAGACTTAAGAAAATAAAGCCATAAGAATTGCAAAAGATGATTTTGGTGACCATTTGTATCATCTCAGAACTGGTTGGATGTTTTGAACATGATTTAAAAAAAAAAAAAAAAAAAAAAAAAACACCCAAAAGGCCAAAAAGAAAAAAGGCTATTCTTTACATTTTATATTTTTACATTTATATTTTACTTAAATAACATAAGGAATTCCTTTCTAAATCAAAATTAGATTTAAGAGGAAATTAAAAATAAAGGGCTCACAGCACATGGTGAGGAGTTGCTCTTCGTAACCGACGGAAAATGCTTCATACGCGAACATGGCTGGACGACGGCCAGAACGGGTGTTTCCCCGGGACGTCCAGAAACAAGCAGAGACAGTGAAGGACGTTCAACCTCACCACCAATTCTGTGTGTGCCCATGAAAATAAGATTCCATTGTTGGCTGTTTCAGATTGGCAAAGATTAATAATAGCCAATGTTAGCAAAGATACGAAAAAATGGGCCGTTACGGTTCCTGCTTACATATTAAACATTTCTGTGGGTCAGTTTGGCAATTTGAACTGAGCGTAACTGTTTTGTACTCAAGGAGTAAGACATGATGGTTTGATGTCAGTTTACCTTGTGCAGTGATGACCACAGCCGGGTAAATTAACACACCCATCCCCATCCAGGCTGGACAGTGCAGCCCCAGAACTTGCCCATCCTGTGACTTGAATTTATGTCCTTTGATCAGCATCTCCCCATCCTGCTTTCCCTGGGCCCTGCTGCCCACTCTTCTACTCTGTAGGAATCTGGGTTTTTCTAGTTCCACAAATAAGTGAGGCCACACGGCGTTTGCCTTTCTGTGCCTGGCCTATTTCACTCAGCAGCATGTCCTCCAGCTCCATCGGGTTGCCGTGAGTGCTGGGATTTTCTTCCTTAGCAAATATGAGGATTATTCTTGTGTGTGTGTGTGTGTGTGTGTGTGTGTGTGTGTGTGTGTGTGTGTGTGTGACATTTCCAAAGTAAGCATAGCCATTCAGAGAGGAATTCCATGTCTACACATTTACGTTAAGGAAATATAAAATGTATGTTTCTTGTCTACCCCTGAACCCCAGCACCAAGAATGATAAAGTCTACACAATGTTTTTTAGATTACATGTATGCAGTCTTGAAAAAATCAAATAAATGCATAGTTGACCCTTGTAAAAAAGCAGAGGTTAGTGGTACCAACCCTCTCATGCAGTCAAAAATCCACATATAACTTTTGATTGCCCCAAACTTTGCTACTGATAGCCTCCTGTTAACCAGAAGCATAAGCAATAATACAGTCACTGACACACATTGTGTTTGTTACATGTATTACATGCTGTATTCATACAGTAAACTAAGCTAGAGACAGAAAATGTTATGAAAATCATAAAATACAATACATTTATATTTTATTAAATGGAAATGGACCACCACAGAGGCCTTCATCCCCGTCCTCACGTTGAGTGGGCTCAGGAGGAGAAGACAGGTTTTCCTGCAGTCTCAGGGGTGGCAGAGGAGGAAGAAGATCCACATATGAGTGGACTCCAGCAGTTCCACCCAATGTTGTTCAAGGGTCAAGTGTCCATGAATATATGTGCAGAGATATGTATCATCAGTCAGGCACGGTGGCTCACAGCTGTAATCGCAGAGCTTTGGGAGGCAGGGGCAGAAGAATCGCTTGAGCCCAGGAGTTCGAGACCAACCTGGGCAACACAGTGAGACCCCATCTCTACAAAAACTAAACTTTTAAAAACTTAGCAATGCAGTGGCGTGTGCCTGTAGTCCCAGTACTTTGGAGGCTGAGGTGGGAAGATTGTGTAAACCCGGGAGATCCAAGCCGCAGTGAACCGTGATCATACCACTGCACTCCAGCCTCGGCAACCCAGTGAGACCCTGTCTCAAAGGGGGGAAAGAAAAATGTATAGTTTATGTTTATTATAGCAAGAAATTAGAAGCCATATTGAATGCTTCATCAAAGAGGACTGGTTAAATAAACTTTAGTATATCGCCCCAAAAAAGTTCTATAGGCAATTACAATTATGGAAGGGATGTATGTATACAAAGTGTGTGTGTGTGCGTGTGTGTGTGTGTGTGTGTGTAGAGAGGGAGACCCCAATCAATGAGAAATTATAATATTATGTTAATCAGGCTGATACAATTAGCATATGCAGTGTTATCTTTGTGGAACACAAATCTAAGGATCTTTGGACATAAGTACTCTCAGATGGATATTCCTCACCACGTGAGCAGTGCCATATCTGTGTTGTGAGATTGCAGGGATCATCTCCTTTATCTATTTTGGCAAATTTATAATTGTGTCAGGTATATTCATTAATTTTGTAACCAGAAAAATAAGCGATTTTTATTTTGAAAAAATAATTACATGCTTTCTGAAAAGTCATCAAGTTATAAGGTTTGGAGAATATATTACAGTACTTCAAATTGTCAAATATGGAAAAGGTGTTGGAAAAGTGCTTCTGCTGCCACTTGGTGCCGGATGCTGAAAACATACAGGGCAGCAACCCTGAAGGAGAAATGCATTAAAAATCTCAGACTTTTATACAGAGATTCTGTCACATGGTCTGGGATGCGTTAGCCCTGCCTTGTACACACGAGAACACAGAGGTGGAGGCTGATTGGCCTTCGCTCAAGGAAGGAAATGGTTCAGGACACACGAAGTCGGCGATGTTACCAGTCTGAGGAGCTTTAGCCTCCCTGCCTGTGTCTTATTTTTGGGGAAGCTCAAAGGCTGCTTGATTAACGACCAGATCCCAATTCCGTGGCTCCCTTTACTGGCTGGGGCTGGATAGGCTGCCGTGCGCCTGGCCCGGGGCTGAGGCTGTCTCTCTGCAAGGTCAGTGAAAACTTCGTGGTGTTTGAATGGCCACATCAGAGCCCATATTAACTTTAACTTGACAGTGACAGGAAGCATGAATTACACTCCTGGTCAGATGACCACCAGCAGCTCCCAGCAAGCCCTTTCCAGCAGAGTAAACTAACGAATCTCTTTACTCTTCATGGGTGACAGAGCGGCAGACGTCTTTGGCGGTGGACTCTGACAGGAAGCTCATTTTACTCCCATTCTCTTCTCTGATGTGATATATTCATGAAGGAGACCCACACATGCGTGTCTGGGGTTTTGGTGTCTGTACTTAGTGATGAAATATGTGACCCCAAGAATAAAGGGTTTTTCATTATTCGCTGGCTTATTCAGACGTTGGGAAAGAAGATACGCTTATTTAGGTATCAGTTAATAGAAGAACTAGGTCAGAATTCGTTAAGTTGCCATGTCAGGTCTGTATTTGTTAAAGCGAAAGTTACTGTGACCAAAGCATTCATAAAAGTTCAGGGATGAAGTGGCTCGGGATGTCATTTTCAGAGTTTAATTTTTTTCCTGGAAAGAGCAGAAATTGTGACTGCACAGTCTCTGCACCCTCCTCCGCCCCAGCCTATGCCCGGCCCCTGAGAGCTTGGTGCACAGTTACCCCGGCCTGTGCCCGGCCCCTGAGAGCTTGGTGCACAGTTACCCCGGCCTGTGCCCGGCCCCTGAGAGCTTGGTGCACAGTTACCCCTGGCCTGTGCCCGGCCCCTGAGAGCTTGGTGCACAGTTACCCCGGCCTGTGCCCGGCCCCTGAGAGCTTGGTGCACAGTTACCCCGGCCTGTGCCCGGCCCCTGAGAGCTTGGTGCACAGTTACCCCGGCCTGTGCCCGGCCCCTGAGAGCTTGGTGCACAGTTACCCCGGCCTGTGCCCGGCCCCTGAGAGCTTGGTGCACAGTTACCCCGGCCTGTGCCCGGCCCCTGAGAGCTTGGTGCACAGTTACCCCGGCCTGTGCCCGGCCCCTGAGAGCTTGGTGCACAGTTACCCCGGCCTGTGCCCGGCCC